CAAAATAAATAAAAAATATTAGTCAATAAAATAGTAGAAAATTACAACAAAATGAAATACATAGCGGATTATGCATATTATCTATATTATATATATAATATTATATATATATATACATATATATATATATATATATATAATATGCATAATCTGCTATATATTGAAACGACCTGTTAAATTCAAACGGACGCGCGGTTAGCCCTAGTCGGAGGACGGGTGAATTGACAGGCTCGGAGACCGAATAATTTGGTGGACGTTTTTAATCTAACTTAATAAGAGAAATTTTATTATAAAAAATAAGCTGATCGTATTTACAACAAAAACAGATGTAGAGTTACATTCGGATGTACAATGCAATGCGTGTACGTGGATACATTATCCTTCGCTTGATTCCGTCGGGGTGCGCGGCGCCGGGTGATAGCTTTGAGCCGCTTCACGAAGAGCGCGCGCGCGGAGAGATATGCTCGTAGCGGTCACCCGGTTTCCTTCGGCTACGGCCGATAGGAGCTCCTTAGTCCTAGTGGTAGCGGATCGGCGGGAACCGATATATCGTGGAAGCGAACTTAACGGGTAGACGCAACGCCTGTGCCGACGGCGGTCGGCGGGAACAAGCAGCGGCTTGTCCCCGGTCAGTTGTTCCATCGAGGAATATGAGCGTGGCCAGCAGCGGCTGGTCGCGGTGAGGAGCTTCCCACCTCTTTTGCTCAATGGAGCGGATCGCTTGTCGGACTGGCGGGAGCGGCCGACGGAGGTAGAAAGCTTTCTACCTCCTGGTGTCGTAACGCGCGGTATCAGGGTTGCGAACGTCGGATGCGATGTGTCAAGCTCGGGTGCTCGGCAGGATCTGTCTCTTGTACGCAGTGTTGTTAGGCGAGTCACCTTTTCGCGCATGCGTATTCGAGTACGGCATCAACGCTGTACTAATGTCGAACTTATGAAGGTTCTGTAAGGACCCTATTTTAATGTTTGTATAAAAATTATGTCACTTTTCAAGAAAATTAATTAGGATTATAAAATAATGCAGAAATTTAAAAAAGAACCAAAGATAAGCAAAAAAATACAACTTTATA